GTGGAGATTCTTTAGGAATTGGTGATATGTTGGCAAGCTTCCATGGAAGAGCAACTGACTGCTGTCTGAGTGAAGAGTTAAAAAGCTTGGTGACAAGCTTCTTATTCTTATTATGAATGAGTTTAAACAAGAGGAGTTAAACTTCATTTATTCCTTTTCGAATGAAACAAAGATAACAATATTTTTTTAAAAACTAAAAAAAGGCTTTTACACTTACAAGCTTTATCTTGCCACACAAACTTAACTCTCAATACTCATTCTTGCTTATTCGTTTGCGAATGAAGCAAAGAAAATTAGACTTTTCTTCCTTAACACTTTCACACTTGTTTGATTTGTTGTCGCACATCAACTTGTCTTTGTTTATTCTTTTGCGAATGAAACAAAGAAAACTGCATTTTACTTTTTAAAATAATACTAGCTCGTTTTGCCAAGACAAAATCACCTTTGCTTATTCTCTCTCAAATGAAGCAAAGAAAACTACTTTTTAACAAAAGATTTCGCTTACTTGCTTTGCCGTCCGAGACAGCGAACTCCACTTTGTGTATTCTTCTTCGAATGACACAAAGAAAACTACTTTTTTTTTCTTCTAAAAATAGACTACTTGCTTTGCCGTTCAAGATAAACTTTTATATATTTACTCTTTTTCGAATGAAACAACATAAGTATCAGTGTATTGAGCTTTTCAAGCAAACGACAAAAAGGGAACTACTACCAACTCTACAGCTTTGAAGACTGCACCTTAATGAGGTGAAAGCACCGCTTTTCATTCAGCAGTTCCGGACAGCACCAGAGCAACGAACGCAAGCCCGACAGAAGCAAGAAAGTAAGGCTTAATACTATCTTTGCCTCCCTCCACTGCGAGACATTCATTCAAGCCTTTGATGACTGCAATGTAGTCGTCACCAAGAAACTCCGAGTAGGATTGACTACTAACATCCATAAGCTTCTCCGTGGTATCCTTGAAGAGGAGATCCTTTTTATCACCGTACTTTGCGGAGTCAAACAAGGCAAAGCTGCCTGAATCGTTGCCGTACTTGTCTGACGCCTCCAACAGCACACGGACGTAGTTGGCCTTATTGCTGTTCCCCTCCTTCGTCATTACTGCGTGAGATGGAACTTTAGCAAGGTTGCAATGCAAGTGCTTTCCAATTTCTGAAAGTTATTAAGAAAAACGCAATTTACAACAATTCAAGTCTTCTTGGTTGGAAGAGCTTCATTTAAGTTAGGTAAGATATCTCTGATCCAGGTTTCATGTAATCTGAACTCAAATGCCTTAATATTACTTGTGCCGTAAAAGGGTGGATGGGTGAGAGGATGAGTGAGTGGGTGAGCGAGTGAGTGAGTAGGTGGGTGGATGGGTGAGTGAATGAATGAATGAATAAATAATTTTGTTGTGATGTTGTCCACAAGGTCTTGAAGCTGTTTCATATTTTTCTTCACATGTTGTTACATATTTTACAGTAACTGTTATTTTAACTTACCAAGTGCAATAACATTGCCTTAGTAAAATGGGGTAGCACATTTTGTCTTAAAATACCCTTCAGTGTACAAAGCTTAGAGCAGCGAACCATACTCTAGTAACAGTCCCNCAACGCAACCGAAGTGTCCCGCTCCCCTATGTACGAGGTGAATCGGAGAAAATTTCTCGCGCCTTCCGCAAGCAGGGTATAAACAGCTTGTACACCCTAAACATCCCACAACCAATGGTTAGAAGTGTGGCGTCATCTGCAAATTAGAATGTGCTAATTGTGAAAAGATCTTTATTGGAGAAACCGCCCGGCCCTTTAACGTCCGTTTAACATAATACTACTAGGTCGACACTTTCCACCGTTGGAGAACACCAGGCTAAGGGGCACAGTCCACAAGTTGAAAGAGAATAAGGGGGCTGTCATAGCTAGTGAGGAAGGCAACTTTAGAAGGAGAATTCGTAAGGTCTTGGAAATTCTATGCCAGTCCTCGACGCTCAATCGAGACCGTGGATTTGAACTTCTAGCCCTATACGGGGACGTTTTGGCACGTGACTTGGTCCAGCCAAGCTCACATGACAAATAGATTCCCGCCATATTCACTCGAGAAACAGGCTATGACATCTTCGTAAGGTTGTGATCGCTAAAACATTGACTCTACTTCGGTATGGCGGTATCTCGTTTCTTATTGTGAAAAAATATAAACAGGATGAGTTAAACTTCATTTATTCCTTTTCGAATGAAACAAAGATAACAATATTTTTTCAAAAACTAAAAAAAGGCTTTTACACTTACAAGCTTTACCTCACTACACAAACTTAACCCTCATTCTTGCTTATTCGTTTGCGAATGAAGCAAAGAAAATTCGACTATTCTTTCTTTAACACTTGCACACTTATTTGATTTGTTGTCGCACATCAACTTGTCTTTGTTTATTCTTTTGGGAATGAAACAAAGAAAATTCGACTTTTCTTCCTTAAACACTTACACACTTGTTTGATTTGTTGTCGCTCATCAACTTGTCTTTGTTTATTCTTTTACGAATGAAACAAAGAAAAGTACATTTTACTTTTAAAAATAATACTAGCTCGTTTTGCCAAGACAAAATCACCCTTTGCTTATTCTCTCTCAAATGAAGCAAAGAAAACTATTTTTCACAAAAGATTTCGCTTACTTGCTTTGCCGTCCGAGACAGCGAACTCCACTTTGTGTATTCTTCTTCGAATGACACAAAGAAAACTACTTTTTTTTCTTCTAAAAATAGACTACTTGCTTTGCCGTCCAAGATAAACTTTTATATATTGTTTACTCTATTTCGAATGAAACAATATAAGTATTAGTGTATTGAGCTTTTCAAGCAAAGGAAAAAAAAGGGAACTACTGCCAACTCTACAGCTTTTGAAGACTGCACCTTCATGGCGTGAAAGCACCGCTTTTCATTCAGCAGTTCCGGACAGTAGCAGAGCCACGAACGCAAGCCCGACAGAAGAAAGAAAGTAAGGCTTAATACTATCTTTGCCTCCATCCGGTTCCACTGCGAAACATTCATTCAAGCCTTAGATGACTGCAATGTAGTAGTCACCAAGAAACTCCGAGTAGGATTGACCACTAACATCAATAAGCTACTCCGTGGAATCCTTGAAGAGGAGATCCTTTTTACCGTACTTTGTGGAGTTAAACAAGGCGAAGCTGCCTGAATCGTTGCCGTACTTGTTTGAGGCCTCCAACAGCACACGGACGTAGTTGGCCTTGTTGCTGTTCCCCTCCTTCGTCATTACTGCGTGAGATGGAACTTGAGCAAGGTGGCATTCCACGTGCTTGCCAATTTCTAAAAGTTTTTAAGAAAAGCGCAATTTACAACAATTCAAATCTTGGTTGGAAGAGCTTCATTTAAGTTAGGTAAGATATCTCTGAGCCAGGTTTCATGTAATCTGAACTGAAATGCCTTAATAGTACTTGTGCTGTAAGTGGGTTGGTGGGTGAGAGGATGGGTGGGTGGGTGAGCGAGTGAGTGATTAGGTGGGTGGATGGGTGGGTGGGTGAGCGAGTGAGTGATTAGGTGGGTGGATGGGTGGGTGAATGAACGAACGAACGAACGAATGAATGAATGAACAATTCTGTTGTGATGTTGTCCACACGGTCTTGAAGCTGTTTCATATTTTTCTTCGTGTGTTGTTACATATTTTTAAGTTATTTTAACTTACCAAGTGCAATAACGTTGCCTTAGTAAAATGGGGTAGCGCATTTTGTCTTAAAATACCCTTAAGTGTACAAGGCTTAGAACAGCAAACCATACTCTGGTAACAGTCCCCAGTGTGAAAATAGAACACCTACCCATTCGTTTTCCATCTTTACACAGATATTGATAGTTTGATATCATTCCTGCTGGCTTGTTGTCCCTCACAGTGGTATGTTTAACAAATGCCACGTCGCCAACACCATCATCCATGCATCTAAAGGCACCATCATAATTAGAGTAGTTTCCATCTTTCTTGCATTCGTCCGGGCATAATGCACACAAGGAATCGGGGTTATTTCCGTTGGTATCGTAAGCCGGTAGTTTTACTCCTAATGTAAAGACACAGATATTGCTTTTAGAAAAGAACGTCAGTTCAGCATTTACATGGAAGAAATTTAACAAAGCTTTTGAATTACTAATTAAGTTTAGCCTTTTGGTTTGTGCCAGCGGTGGGGGAAGGTGGGCAGCAGTCCTTTGGAGGTATAATTAGCTAATTTGTACAATTAGACAACTCACTCTCTTTAAATAAATCATGCGCATCAACACTGACCATGGGCAATTACATAATATGTTGCATTATTCTCTCATTTTACTTGGCTCTTACTTATGATCTTCTGGAGGACAGACATGACTGTAGATGGAATCATTAACAATTTTCTTTGTTTCTTAATACAACAAGATGGTTCCAAATTGCTGTGCATCCGCTCAGTAATAGATCACAAAAGACATCAAAATGTGGTAAGGACATCAGGGCAGGGGTTGCATCAAGGGCCGAGCACTGGGAAAATTGACCGGCGGTGAGGATGATTTTGCCTGCCTGGTTTGACGATCCAGACAGAAGTTTTTCTTATAAAAAAGTTCAGTTCAAAACGTATAGCCCGCCTGTGAAAACCAGTTGCCCAGACTTTCTCCTGAAAATGTTAATGACACTCCTGATCAGTGAGGCACTTGCCTTGGGTGCATCACTCAAGGCTCGTGTGCCACTTTTTTGTTCTAACCATATTTTGACACACAACAACATGGAACCCATCCGTTAAATTGATTCTGAGCAGACAAAAAAGACTTCACTTAACCAGTAATTGTACAGTCCAGAGAAGGGTAATATAAGATTTCAAACCTTGCCATGTTGAAACGTAGACAAAACACTTCACATGAACACGTGGACGCATTTTGCCATTTTCCAACATTGAAAGAGGGTTTTGACACATTCTCATTAGTTGCTATGATCAAAATTTGAAACATTTGCATGTGTTTCAACTTAATGTGAAGAGACAAGGTACATGTACCCAAGACTGTGGCCATTTTGGTCTGGAACCAAGTGCGTAAACCTTTCAAGAGGGAAATAACGGCTTTGTTATTGTGCAACTTGGCTCATGTTTAGGAAGGGGGATTTAGCTTTTAAAATGCAGTTTCTACTATCAAAGTACAAAAAAGCTGCAAACTCAAATGAGTTTCCATCCATTGTTTCATGCTTACTACAAAGAAACCTACATAACCTTTTCAAAACAGAGTAACCTATTGCTTTTACAATAAAGATATTTATCCATGAGGCAGCGGTGTGGCCCAGTACATTAGGGTGCTGGATTTATAATCTGGAGGTCCCAGGTTCAAATCCTCCTCCCTGCCATTAGATCAATTTGTGTTTGATGGCCTTTAATTCAACTCCTTCATGTCTTGCATGTAAACAGCCAATCGGTCAGCCTCCAACCAGAAGGGATTTTAAACAAGTATTCATTTTTTGTTATGTACAATATTTGTTTCTTTATTCATAATTAATGTCCCCAATTAGTGCAACAGTGTTAAATACATGTACTATGACACAAGTATACTTATTTATTTTTTTATTTATTTATTAACAACTGTTAAATCACCTTCGTCCAGTTTGTTGTTGCTTCTCTACTTTAAGGGGGGCTGGGGAGGGAAATTACTTTCTTTGGGTCATTACTTTTGAAGGGTTGGTACTTTCAGGTCATGAAAAAAACTCGCAGTTCTACGTATCATTTAACTTTCAGCATTTTGCTACTTCTGGAACATTACTATACTTAAGCCAGCCAGCAAACAGGCTCCCGGCAAGGAAAGAAAAAAAATTGGCAAGCAAAGCGAGTGGACAAGCGTGAAACTTAAGAATTCAGAGAGTGAAGCAATCAGGGTGGGATGGGGGAGCCTGCAGACTTTGTTTTCGATGTGCCTATCGGCCCTTGGTAATTAGCCTGTAACAAATCAGTCAATGAGGTAATTAGACCCGTCAAGAAGCTACATTTTCTGCACTTGCAAACAGTTCTAATCAACCCAATCAAACAGCCAGGTCCATGAGTGTATGGAGTGCTAGTATTAGCAACATGTTCATGGCATATTTCAAAGTTTGTCCCTCCAGAGCCAATACTTTGAGAGCTTCAAACATATTTTGCAATATTGAAATGAGCCTAAAGAAATTTAATAATAAGCACATGGCAAATGATAGAGGTGTCAAACTCTGCGAGGCGACGCACAAATAACAGCGGAAAGTCTGGTAACCATGCCTTTGACCTCTAAAAGGAATAATTTGCTATAGCACAGCCAAACGGCTCCACTCTACTTAAAATTCTTCCACATAACACAGCATAAAGTACCCTTTAGAGTGAAATTAAATAATGAAAGGTCGAGGGACCAAATATTAAAAGAGAATGAAAAATGCACAAATGTCATGAACCATAGGAGTCGTGTACGGCGGTCAACCACATTTTACAAAGATCTGTCAAATAGTTATCTCAAAGATGTCAACAGTCAGCAATTTGACCAACCACATCATGATACCAGATCCTGGTATGATGGAACGAGGGCATCAATAGAATGTCTAAAGGCTCACTTGCTTCATTTGGGCTCACCGGGAGCCTGTTCGCAGGCTATGTACTAGCTGACTCATGAATACAACAGAGGTGAAAATAACAAAGAAAACTTGATCATTACTTACTCGGTACGCAGCTTTCTTTGAAATATTTTCCTGCTGCTACGTAGGGATTACAGCTAGAATCATACTTCATGTATTTCATGGAGAGAAGAGTTCCAACTGGCACATTCCAACCTGCTGTTTTTCCAGCTCCAGTGTGGCATGTCTTCTTGCCTTCCAGCTTGTCAAACTGAATCTCATCGTTGTTCTTCTTTACAACTGCTACAGCATAGTAGCTCAATGTGCCATAACCATAATCTTCACCGACCACAGGAACCATTCCAAACTCTTTACCTGAAAGATAATGTTGCATATTAGGCTACTCCCTTTGATGCCATTGTTTGGCTTGTCACAAGCAACATTTCTTGATACTAGTAAGAACAATAGCATTGCATGACCTCACATGACAATCCATCTTACACAATGACAATGTAATACTCATGGTTATGGCTCTGTCAATTCCAAGCCCCTTCATGCCTAACCCCCCGCCTGTAACCATGGTTTTTGGGAGCAATACATTCTCCCTCAAAGTACCGTTGAACCTTGCTATTTTGAACTCTCAGAGGAAACGAAAAACTAGCCGATAGTAAATGACTGAAGGGCAAATAGAAGGAAAATAGTTTTGAGCTCAAAATAATGAAGAATTTGGAATAACTGAGTTCAAATTAGTGGGTTCCAACTGAATAACAAAACTTGACAAGAAATGCAACAACAGTTGTTGCTTCTGTTACTAGCATTCAATTCTGTCTGGGACTTTATACCCATATTTCTATGCTTGAATTCCAGTGATAAGACAAGTGCATTTGCAGGATCGTTCTCTATGAAACATTCCAATTAAATAACCACAACAGCCCAGTGCTTCCAAATTGAACATCCTACCCTGTAAAGCTGTCACATCTCTTTTCCATCAGGTTTTTCTGGTTATTACCAGTAGTCTTACTAAAGCGGTAAATAAAATTTGTATGTATTTTTAAGAACTGAAAGATAACATTTCCTTTAACAATGCCCCACCCCTGGGATGACCTTTTATTTTGGAAGTGCCCTACCCTGGGGGAAGTAAACATCATCAAACGCCAGCTGACAAATTCCCTAGTGGGATGAAGGCCTTGGAATTGATAGGGCTATAACAAGAGGACATTTTGACTGTGGAAATTGGAGTTGTCCCTAGGAAAATAGCTTCTTTGCCTGATTATGTTGCTTGAGGCAACTGTACCCAGTTAGGTGAACTTTAGCTGAACAAGTAACTGAGAACTGAAAACATTAAAACCTGACGTACCACAAGTAAACAAAGCATACTATAAGAGTATTTATGAAGCTCTATAGGAATTTAATTATGGATATTACTATGGATTGAAAAATCTTTTTTTTTTGACCAAATTTCACATTTAGCAGTAATCAGGGATTTGTAGGTGTGTTCAAATGTTCATCACTGGAATTACAGTTGCTTAACCATAGCACACGCCATGTTCAGGTTCTGGTAGCTCTAATAACTGGCTTTTGTTTGCTTCAGGTGTAGTAAACAACTCTTTGATCAAGCTTTGTTGTATTACACCTAGTGCAAACTTTCCAAAAAAAACATTGCAATAACCTCAAAAAAGGATAGAGATTGCACCTACCGAGTGAGAAATTACTCACTCACAGTGAGTTTATTCAGTTTGTGTTTGTTACTGCAATAGGTCAGATTAAACTGACCTATATACACTCTTATCATTCTCTTTGATCAACTGTGTTTGGACATTATAGGATCAACTTTCCCAGGTAAAACTCCCGATGAGATAAGCCAATGTTTGGGTAGCACCTGTGTAGTGCATGACTTGCTAGTACATTCGTAACTGAGCTTTCCCTAGGTGGTGTATCGATGTACAAATACTGATGAAACAAACACTCACCAAATTACTACTGCAAAAGAAAGTGCAAAGCAAAAAATCACTTGGTTGAGTATTCTTTTTCTTGCAAACTCACTCATCATAACTGAGCTGTATTAATGTTTTCCCCTTGAATTCCCTGGCAATATATTTTTACCAATGAAAGTAAAATTATACTGCATACATGTTGCACATGATGCAGGCACAGATCTAGGAAAAATGTTGACTGATTTACTGCAAAACGAGTGCCAAAGGCGCAAGGTCCAAGGGGGATCTGGGGGCATGCCCCCCCCCCCCCCCCCCCCCCCCCCCCCCCCCCCCCCCCCCCCCCCCCCCCCCCCCCCCCC